GTTATAATCATCTTACTAATCTTACTATTTTCTTTCACTTTTTAAAAGAGAACGTTTTTTAGTAGTTGATCCCCTAATAATTTCTTTTGGAACCACTAGTCGAAATGGATCATCCTTTTCATCGCTATCATCGATAAGAATATAATCATTATTATCGGTTTTCTTATCATCATTATTCTTATCGTTATTATTATCGTTAACGTTATTGTCGTTTTTATCATTACTAGCATTGTTTTTATCTTCGTCGTTATTGTCGTCATTGTTATCATCATTGTTATCGTCATTACTATTATCCTCTTCATCACCATCTTCGTCGGATTCTTGTATAACCCAGCTTGACGAAATCCACCAACTGGGAATGTTCTCCTTTGGTTTACTTTTTTTGTCAAAATTTTCATCTGAGCAGTAACGTGGACGACTTAGACCAAATCCGATGCTAATACCAATTTCTTCCGATCGATGTAGAATTTTTTGAATCTAATAAAAATTTATAATTTATTAAGCATAAATGATATATTCATTAATAACATCACGACTTCGCATACTCCCAACGACAGCCACTTCTTGTCGTAAATCTTTATTACTGAATTATTGTTAATTAATCGACCTGATCTTGTATTTTTACTGCGTTCTTTGTTTGCTAATTCCTCATCTTCTGTGGACCATTCGTCCGAGTGTATGTCTGAAGTATTAGTCGCCTTTATACAATCTTTGATGAATTCTTCCCATTTTAAGTTACGAGGTTGGCATTCAGTCAAAAGTTTGTCTCGTGTCGATATCATATGTTGCAATCCTCTTTTGCGCTGGAACATCTTCTATTGAAGAGTAAATTAAAAAATTAATTAATTGTATATGTTTTTATTATTAAATAATGAATTTTATACCTGATCCCTACTGGATATCATGTGTTGTCTTTTGGTATGTTCAGGAATTTTACCATCTTTTTGCAGTTTCCAAATCTCTCGGCGAGATTTATGCAATTGTTTTATGATTATTACTATCTCTATATCATATGCTACAATAGAAGGGTTCATGGCCGATTTTACTGCTGGCAAAAGTTTTCTTTCTATTGCTTTTTTTGTTCACTGTACGTCTTTGATAGGTCGAATTGAAGTGACCGATTAAGATTATTGAGAATATGGACTACTTTATTTTATTTAATAAAACAGTCATTAAATGATCAAATATTTATATTTAATAAAGATAAATTTTAATAAAAATGTATATTTACGTGAAGTGTCTTCTTATAATTACTTGACATGAGTGGCAGCTCACGTTTCTGTTCTCTAATAAGAATAGGTGATAAGCTTCTATTGGGACGATTAACTAAAGGTTCTTCATGACTAGCGTTTTTTTCGGTTAGGTTATTTAAGCGTTGTGTGAGATTTAAGATTACATTTCTTAATTCTTGAATTTCTTGGTTTTCAACGCCACCTATTATAAGTCAGTATTTAATATAATTCATTTTGAAAATTTTTTTTTTTACATGTAAGTCAAAATAGGAGCGTGAGGGAAATAATACCGCTATTTAGAGCCGGAGTAATTGAAGAGGAAGGTTGATTTTGCAATATCGAAGATTGATTTGTAAGTGTTCCTATAATAATTATGTTAAATCGGTATATTTTTTGAAATGTAATTAAGACTAATTTAAAATAATATTACTTTTTGTTAATGATCTTTCTCTATTTTGTGGTGATGAATCTTTGGATGAGAGAGTGGTAAATTGATCATTAGAATCAAATACTTCACAATAGGATCGATGATGGTAAGAATTGCGGGATCTAGATTGTGATTTATGTGATCAATGATGTCGACGTGAACGGATAGGAGAACTAGAATGGGATGAAGAGATATGTTGTTGGTGAGAATGAGGATAAGAATGATGACTACGAGATTGGGAACAACTACGACTACGAGATTGGGAACGACTACAACTACGAGATTGGGAACGACTACGACTATGAGATTGGAAACGACTACGACTACGAGGTTGGGAACGACGATGGGAATGACGTGAATGAGAACGACGATGTAAACGACGTGAGTGGGATCATTAATGAGAACGATGTGAGTGAGAATGACGATGGGAACAACGTGAATAAGATCGTTGATGAGAACAACGTGAATGAGAACGACGATGGGAACAACGTGAATGGGATCATTGATGAGAACGATGTGAGTGAGAACGGGAATCTGATTCTTTTTGTTGAGATCTAGTATTGAGGTTCCTATGCATCCCGAGAAATTTGTAAAAATTTAAATCTTTTAAATCTTTTCATTATGGTATTTATTATTAAAGATCGAACAAGAGATAAAAAGGCACTTTATATACATATTTTGAATCATCCTATCATTTAACGCGTAATTGCCTAATTAAAATAAACTATAAAATAAATTATTAACTTCGTTTTCACATATCAATAAATTTATACTACATCGCTATTCATCAATTAAATATATCAATAATCAATTAATATCATTAAACTTAATTAAATTAATTACTTACGGAAGTTTGTTTTTCCAGTAGAAAATCTGTGACACGACGAAATAGCAATACGTAACGAAAAAGCAATAGGAAATATTTTTGAAACCGTGATGTGAACGCAAAAAGTGATAGAAAATATTTTCGAAACTGTGATGTGAACGAAAAGAGAGAGGAAATATTTTCGAACTGTGATGTGAACGAAAAGAGAGAGGAAATATTTCGAACTGTGATGTGAACGAAAAAAAGCGATATAAATATCGTCGAAGAAAGCGTGGTAAACATACACAAATATATCATGATTGGCACCTCCGATTTTGTAGGATTTATGCATCTGGCGCGTGACACTTATGCGTCATCCAGTCACGTGGTAGTAACAAACTGCGCGTCTGCGCCCAAGGCAGAAAATTAGTAAAATTAGTTCGACCTATACTTATTGGGCAATAAAAGAATAACTTTTTATACTTTTATACGTGATTTTGATATTTTGATTTAAAAATAACTCAATCAATTAATTTTTAACCATCGTTGATGTAATAGCGTATCAGTTTGAGACGAAGTACTCGTGTTATTGTGCCTGCGTACATTACAATAATGAATAACATCTACAGGGAGATGTTCCCCATATCGATAGGGAGAATGATCCCATACTAGACTGACTTTTTTGTTTAAATTATAGTTCATATGTATAACTACTAAAATGATAGATGCAAGTTTATCACGATCATTTAGCGCTGATGGACAAATCGTTCGTTGAGATACTTGTTACATGCAGTATGATGATTAATTACTATTAGATTTTATACAAAATTTATAACATTTTAAATCGATTTTAAAGGTATTAATATTATCTTATCTTGTATTATGAAAAAGAAGCTGGTTTAATAGCCAAAAAAAATATCATATTTACAAAATATAAAGGAATTTTCAAATTTATCTAGATGCAAAAGCCAAAAAAAAGAAAAAATGAAATATAATTGATTAATCATGACTTGTGAAATTTGAAGTATTCTGATAAGCTGCTAAATGTAGGTGATTGCGATTGTTGTTGCGATTGTTGTTGTGATTGTTGTTGCGATTGTTGTTGCGACTGCGTTTGTTGATGTTGTTGCGAAAAATATAATCGTAAATTTAAATCATAAATTTCTTTTTCAGTCTTTTATTTTTTCGTCGTATATTTTTAACCACTCCACCAAATTATTTTCACAGGAACTTTTCTCCAACTTATTAAGTAATTTCTCTCCCGAATCGTACACAACTTTTTTAAAGTCCAGCAACTGGACTTGCAAATCGGCAACTTCCTCATCCTTTCCCTTTAATTCCTTTAGCATTCGCTCTCTTCTATTTTTTGCGATTTTGCGAGAATTTGCGAGAATTCAACGATGGTTTGCGAAAATAATCTTTCTGGCTAATCTCGGAATTTATAATTCGATGAATAAAGCATGTATTATTGCTAAAAATGGCTAATAACATTCATTATGCTATATTTTAGGGGGTGGGAGAGGCGCAAAAGTGCCTGTCAGGTGGTATTTTCCAATCATATATATATAATTGGTTAAAATCCCGAAAGATTTTGAGTAAATATTTGATTAATACAAATTAAATAAATACATATACTAATATGGTGATATTTATTCACTGTGCTTCAAAAATGTGGCTGATTGTTTCACTTTAATAAGTATCTAGCGGCTTTTTGTGAATCTTTAATATAAATAATTCTCCTAATGAAACATAATATATGCGGATTAAAGAAAATAACATATTAATTCAGGATCTAAATTTTTCAAAAAAATTTCCTATATAAAAAAAAATTTTCAAAAAATTTTCCTAGATAAAAAAATGTCTAACCCTCAAGCTGTTGCCAAATCTAATAGAACTGACCTGACAACAAGAACAAGAACTAAAGTATACTGCTTTTGTAAAGAATGTAATGGCAAGTTAGTGGACCCAAAAAAGAAAACTAAAAATGAGTTAAAATATAATATATCTTATGCGAATAATAATTTTAGTAACAATTATCAAGAAGCTGAGCCTTCTAATGCTAATCCATCTAATGATTTTGGTGATGATTATCAAGAGGCTGGGCCTTCTGATGTTAGACAATATACTGATGATAATAATGCAATAGAATGCGAACCTTTACTCGAGAGGATACCTATACATGAATCGGCAAAACATAAATTCACAAAGAAAGGGAAAATATCTGATCACGTTCTTGAAAATTTATTACCAGATAACGGAAGAGATATGAATGATGATCAAGATAGAGATTTTGAAGACTATGACGATGAAAATAGAGATTCTGAAAGTTTTGAAGATGATGATGAAGATGGTGTTTCTGGCGATTTTGAAGATGATGACGAAGACAGTAATTTTGGATTTGAAAGCGATGAAGAATATAGAGACTCTGAAGATTTTGAAGATGATGATAAGGAAGAAGTCAATTTTGCGTCAAAAGATTTTGACGATGATGAACCAAAACTTCCTAATATCAACAATGATAATTATACCTGGATTATCTTATGGATATTACAATATCAACAAAGATATAAGCTTCCTAATGTTTCAATAGATTCTTTATTTAAATTTCTAAGGTTTTTTCTTTTAACGGTAGATGAAAATAAATTTTCATCTTTTCCTTCCTCCCTGTACGTAGCCAAAAAAATATTGGGAATATCAACGAATATTATCAAATATGCCACATGTAATAAATGTAACAAATTGTATGACATAAATGAAATATCAAACACAACCGAAGTACCAACATGTAGTTTTATAAACTATTCGAATCATAGCAAAGAAAGATTTCGACAAAAATGTAATAACCCTCTAGTCAAAAAAATAGACAGTAATAAAGATAGTGGCAATAATCCAATTATCCGTCCGATAATGACATTTCCATTAGTTAACATTAGGCGCCAACTAACCCTATTTTTCGGTCGCAAAGATTTTGAGGTGACATGTCGAAAGTGGGCAGAAAGGGAAAACGAAACTGAAGCCTTATTTGACATCTATGATGGGAGGATTTGGATGAGTTTTGAAGATGGCAAAGGAGAACCATTCTTCAAAAAAGAATACGCCGAAACTCATATCGGATTAATGCTAAACATGGATTGGTTTCAACCCTATATAAATTCCCAATATTCTGTCGGTGTAATATATGCCGTTATTTGTAACTTACCCCGAAGCGAACGTTTCAAGCCCTACAATATTCTCACACTAGCAGTTATACCCGGTCCTAAAGAGCCAAAGAAACATGAAATCAACAATTACTTATACCCCATCATAAATCAGCTGAATCGGTTATGGGAAGGGTATCATATAAAAACCTACGAATATAACAACGGTCGTTTTATCCGTGGCGCGATAATAGGTTGTGCTAGTGACGTTCCTGCGACTCGAAAATTATGTGGTTTTATATCAGCTCGAATCGCATGTTATCGATGCTATAAATCAGCAAACTTGGTAAATAATCAACCCAATTTTGGTGGGTTTGAAGACATTGACGACTGGTTTGTTGAGAGAGATATTAATTTAATAAGGGAGAAGGCACGTGAATGGAAGAAATGTGCAACTGAAGAATCGCGTAAGGCTCATGTCTCACAGTATCATGTTCGTTGGTCAGAAGTATACCAATTACCTTATTTTAATTCTGTGCGCTTTTGCGTAGTTGATCTCATGCACTGCCTCTTTTTCGGGGTAGCAAAGTGGATTGTAATGAAGCTCTAGATCGACGAAGGTATATTAAATAATGAAAAGCTCAAAATAATGCAAGAGAGAGCCGACTTGATAAAATTTCCAAGTGACCTCAGTCGCCGTCCCGTTAGAATAGCCACTGGCAACGGCTTTTCAAATTTTACGGCGGACATGTGAAAAACGTTTGTTCTAATTTTTGCAATACCTATCACATGGAATCTCTTGAGAGAGATCAATCAAAAAATTCTTGCTTATTTCGTACGTTCCTGTAAAATTTTAACAAATCGGGAATTACAAAAAAGCGAGCTAAACGAAGCATTTACAAAACTACTCGAAATGAATAAATTAATTGAAAAAAAATACGGACAAAAAAAAATAAGCCCAAATCTGCATTTATGCCTTCACATATGTAAATGCGCTTTAGATTATGGACCTTTATCCTCATTTTGGTGTTTTAGCTTTGAACGAATGAACGGAATTCTAGGTATGATATATTAATTTCGCCGATTTGAAAATCGTATTGTTTTTTTAATTTATACAGATTGAGCAATTTATTTCTTAAGAACATAGGATCTTATAAAAATAGCAAACGTAACATTGAACCAGAGATATTAAAAATAATGGTTGAAAGTTACTTTTTAAACTATTACCTCACAAATTGCGATAGCAATATATTAAACACCACTTTGGACATTATAAAGCCTAGAAAATCTGCAGGAAGCTTGGCTGCACTTGATGATTTTACAAGTGATGAGTATCAAAATTTTCTGAGGCTTTCACTTATCGAAAATGAATCAGCTTATGGAACAAAACATTTTACCGGGTTGTTAATGAAACCGCGCCAAGAAACATGTCTCCCAAACCGCGTCTTGGACTTACTGGTTGAATTTTATAATAGTTTGTATAAAGAATATTTCGTCCCCATTTATTCTATAACGGGTCCAAATAACGATATTGTTGTAATTTCCAAAATTATACAATACGGTAGAATAAGAATTGGGGCAGATATATTTAGTTCCATTCAGGCAGCTCGTCATGAGAAATCATCATACATATTAGCTCGTTTTGAGCAGGAAGATGGAACTATAGACACATATCCCGGTCAAATTCAATTTTATTTTGAACATACTATTTATTTAAAAAATTCATCATCATTAACTCATTCGCTAGCACTAGTTAAATGGTACAGGCTGGTCCAAGATCATAGGACAAGATATTTTTGTCAAGTAGACGATGACATAAAATCATGTAATATAGAATTATGGACAAATGGGTTTTATGATATGAGTCGAGATAGTATTATACCGGTACATCATATATTAGGAAAATTTATAAAATGTGATTTTAATATTGGAACGAGAAAGATAAAGGAATATATGGCCGTGATTCCTTTAAATAAAAAAATTTCGTTTTAAAAAACAAATGAATCTTATATAAAATTGTTTATATGTAAATCGGAATGACGAATTTGAATTATATAACATTTGTATTTGATTAAATTATAACTAATTTTTTTTATTAAAGGATATATCATATTTTTATTATATTATTATTATATTATTGTTACATATATTATATTTATAAAACTACTAAAGGGTTATTATCGTTGTTGTTGTTGTTGTTGTCATCGAATTCGTTGTTATTATTATTGCCACTATTGTTATTATTGTCATCCTCATTATTATTGTCATCATTATCATTATTGTCATCATTATTATTATTGTCATCATTATTATTATTGTCATCATTATTATTATTGTCATCATTATTATCGCCACCTTCATTATGACTTTCATTGCTGTCTTCGCTGTCTTCGCTGTCTTCGCTAACTGGCGCCCAGGTGGAAGAAATCCACCAGTCTGGCATTATTTCTGTCGGTCTACTTTTATTATCGAAGGCATTATCTAAACGATGACGCATACGGATTAGACCAGTTCCAATACTCTCCCCGATTTCATCCGCCCTACTTAGAATTCTCCTAATCTAATTAAAAAAAAAAATATTATTTATAAATGTTATATTGATAAAGAAATAACTTTACATACTCTCGTAGATTTCCATTTTTTTTCATGTATTTTGATTACAGAATTCGATTTATCTAAACGTTCTGGTCTTTTCTCTAGATTTTTTTCATTGTTGGCAAGATTTTCATCTTCCGATGACCACTCATCGGAATGAAGTTCCGAGATCACTACAATTTTTTCACAATCTTTCATGTACTCGTCCCAGGTAATTTCTTGAGGTTTGCAGTCATTTAAAACCTTGTCTTTTGTGTTAATCATGTGTTGTAAACCGCGTTTACGTCGCGTTATTTTCTGTTAAAAAGTTAATTAATAGTTAATTAATAATGTTAATAGATTGCATAGACAATTAGAAATAATTGACAAATTTTGCATTTTATTAAATTTCGTACTTGGTCTCGCCAAGAAGTCATATGTTGACGTCTACTGTGCGTATCTAATTTGCCATCCTGGGTTATTTTCCAGATATCTCGGTGAGACTTATGAAGCTGTTTGATTACATTAACAATCTCGGTATCATATACTTCAATAGATGGATTCATTGCCGCTTTTACCGCTGGTAAAAGTTTTTTGTTTATTGATTTCTTCTGGTCACTAAACGTTTGTGAAACATTAAACAAAATTCTGGAACCTAAATTATTAATGATTTGAACAACTTCATCCTATTTAAAATAATAATGAATATGATTAAAGATTATAAAAGATAAATATTTTATAATAGAGGTGTAACTTACACGAAGTGTTTTTTTAAAGATTGGAGTCATTGGTGATAGTTTTTTCCTTTATTTCTGCTTATTAAGGGTGATAGACTTCGATTAACACTTGTTGTTATACTCGCGATCGTCTTATCACTGGAATGGCTGAAGTTACTGCCTGTCAAAGCCTCCAGTCGACTAGACAATTGTGATACCGCGCTTTTTAGTTCTTGAATTTCTTGATTTAATAATTTTATAATAGGAAAAACAGTTATGCAAAGAAGCGCGAAGTTGATGAAGCAATGATATGAATGGGTCCTCACCTAAAGATTGCGAAGATTGCTCTTCTTGATGATGTTGCTGTTATCCACCTATCAGAAGTTAATAAAGATATTATAAATTTATTATATTTTTAATTGATTTGATAATAATATATATATAACCACCTTCCGATAAATCAGGCAAATTTCCTATTATTTTACAAGTAATTAGTACAGGTCATATTAAATATAATTTCAATAATAATATAAATAATAATACTTTTTGTTAACGATCTCCCCCTAGAAGGGAGAGAGGATTGTTGAGAATGAGAAATGGAAGAAGAATGATAATGATGTCGACGTCAACGAGAGTGAGAGGAGGGAGAGGGGGAGAGAGAATGAGAATGATGTCGACGTCGACGTCGACGAGAGTGAGAGGAGGGAGAGAAAGAGAGATAATAATAATGGTGTCGAGAATGAGAATGATGTCGACGTCGACGTCGACGAGAGTGAAAGGAGGGAGAGGGGAGAGAGAACGAGAATGATGTTGACGTCGACATCGACGAGAGTGAGAGGAGGGAGAGGAGGAGAGAGAATGAGAATGATGTTGACGTCAACGTCGATGGGAGTGAGAGGAAGGAGATTGATGATATTGCTGAGAGCGATCTTGAGAAGGAGAACGAGGATGTGATTCGCTACGTGAAATAGGATTAAGCGTCAATTTATTTTTTTTCTTCATTTTAATAATGTAAAGAAACAAGATTGAAACGAAAAGAAAGGTGAAAAGTCACCTATTTAACCATTACTTACATCATTAAAATAATATCATAATCGTTATCTCTTAATTAAAAATTAATATCATCGATATCACTTAATTAAATTAATATTATCGATATCACTTAATTAAACTAAATTAATTATCATGTGTATATCACTATTAAAATTAAACTAAAAATTAATACCATCGATATCACTTAATTAATTATCATATATATATCACTATTAAAAATCGTAAAATGAAATTTACTTAGCAAAACAATCATCAACCATCGTTCTAAAATTCGATAAAGGGATGGAGAAAGTTTTATATAAAAAATTATTGATTTGTTTGTTCACGTGAAATATTAACAAATAATTATACAATGATTATTGCCGTTTTCGACAATTGGAATGTCGAACAATATAAGGCGATTTTATAGTAACCAATCAATTGACAAAAGTATTTTTTTTAATCATGATTGTTGCAATTGGGCGTATGTATCAGTTTGTATCAGTTTGGAAACGGCTAAACTATCACTCGTAATACCGATAGTATTGTGTCCGTATACTAACCATTGTGGGTCCAGAGTGAAAATCCATGTGATTTGCAAATTTTTAGACATTCCGGACCTATAGACCTTAAGGGACAGGTCTATTTAAATAATTACTTGCACTAGTTAAATGGTATAAACCGATTCATGATTCTCAAGATAAGATTTTATTGTCAAGTATATAACGACATAAAATCATGTAATATAGAATTATGGATAGAGATAGTATAATACCAATATATAATGTATTAGAAAATTTTATTACATGTAATTTAATGTTGAAGTGAGAAAGATAAAAAATTATATGGCAGTAGAGCTCCGAATGGGTCAGGTCAGGTCAGGTTAATTGATAAACCTGACCTGAAATTTTTTTTCAGGTCAGGTCAGGTCAGGTTATATCAGGTTGTCTGTTTGACCTGACCTGACCTGAAACCTGAAAAATTTCAGGACTATTAGATGTGTATAAGAGACAGGTCATATGTTGACGTCTACTGTGCGTATCTAATTTGCCATCCTGGGTTATTTTCCAAATATCTCGGTGAGACTTATGAAGCTGTTTGATTACATTAACAATCTCGGTATCGTATACTTCAATCGATGGATTCATTGCCGCTTTTACCGCTGGTAAAAGTTTTTTGTTTATTGATTTCTTCTGGTCACTAAACGTTTGTGAAACATCAAACGAAATTCTGGAACCTAAATTATTAATGATTTGAACAACTTCAT